CCCCAAAACCCCAAAACCCCAAAACCCCATGTTTCAATTATGATAAATATTGTAACTTCAAATCATCGAGATAATTTTTTAATAATAAAAGATTAGGAAATAATTTAAATAGGCATAGGATAATAAAGTAAGAATGGTATTGATATTAAACTTAACTTAGAATGTTGATAAATTGATCCGGGAAATATTATTTGATCTAATTAAGACAATTGTTAACACGGTTATCAGGAATTAAACAACTGGAAAAATTTATATAAACTATGCAAGTCGTAACAAAATATGACAAACACATAAATTGGTGGATGAAGAACTCTCAGATATTGTATTAAAAATTTTTCATGATGGCTTCGCTTCATTCAGAATGTATCTTTTATATTTTTACAACACTTTTTCTTTACATCAGGTATTGATTCAATGAAAAAGGTCAGATTTTAGCTATAGATATAGCTTTTGACCTTACTTTTGAACCCTACAATATTTCTAAAAGATTACTGAGAGGAACTGAAAAATTGAGATCTATCAGAATAGATGCCAGAAAAATCCTAAGTGCTCAGCGCAGTGAGTATTTTTCTTGAAAATAACTTAATCATCAAAGTAAATGATGAATTGCTTTGTGGGATATAGTGTAGCAAGAAAAGATTATAGAAGATAGAATTTAATCCATAAGATATGTCTTATTCTATTTGACCACCTTCTCCTAAACTTGAGATTTAAGCTTCTTGTCGTAATTTCTGTCTCAAAAGAGGGTTTTTTAGGTTCAGTTAATCTTGGATGCAAAGTATGAAAGTATTTTGGAGCTTGGGAAGAAGTTGAAAAAATGAATACTACAATGGTGGAGAAATCAAAGAAGGAGTGACTTTTTAAGTTTTAAGTACTTTAGATTCTGATAGGCATTAGGAATTGAAACGGGCTGCCAAATTATGATATCTTGGTTTCATAAATAATAAAAAGCAAAAATGCTGTGACATTTGAGCAAGTATAATCTCTGCTAATATAAAAGTGGCACAATCAAAATTCCTAAAGTGACTAGGATTTGAATTAAGTATAACTAATTTAGAGATCTTAGCTTCGTTGATTATTCAACAATCAGATTTGCTTTTCAAAATAGAAAATCAAGAGCTGGCAGGATTTCTATGATAAAATATATCATAAATAAGGCTACGAAAAGCTTAATTTAGATGTGGACAAAGAATATGTACCTATAGCAATAATTCTTGGGTAGAATATCTGTATTTTATCTGAAGGCTGCTGGATCACAGGATGTTTGCATTTTAAATGCTCAAATGATATTACTGGACAAACCTCGGAACTGTCCAGAAGCATCCTTAGAACCCTACATAGAGTGATCCTTAGGTCCTTGAACATTGCTACATATCAAGCATTTTTTGCTGTTGCTGTTGACAAAGTGCTTCACATCGAACAAGTAGAATACTCTCAGATACCCACTTTTCGAGTTTCATCACATTTGCAACGATAAGTATACAGACATCATACTTTCTCAGGCTGATAAGATATGGAACTATTCATAATTGAGGCAGCACAAGAGATGATAATCTTGAAGATGAAATTTTTAAAACCACACCACATGAAACAGTGAAAAATGAAGTCGAGACCCACAACTGTTGCGAGTGTTTGTTACTAGCTATATTAATGAAATACTTGAGAGAGAAACTATTATGAAATATAGATTCGAATTGCTATAATAGAAGCCGTAATCAGCTATCTAAGGTAAGTGCAAAAAACTAAAACTTTCAACTGTCATTACAACAATTCAAGAGAAAGAATAATTCTTTTTAATTTGATTTGCTATATTCTATAGATTCTAGATTAGAGGGGTTTTGGGGTTTTGGGG